AAGGAATCTTCACCTAAGTGAAGATTACCCCAGTTCAGGAGGATGTCCTGACTCTTCACTCCAGTGAAGATTACCCCAGTTCAGGAGGATGTCCTGACTCTTCACCCACTGAGCTTCTGACCTTAGGCTGGTCCATGTGTGCAAATGTGACTTCCTGAGGCTCTTCCTGCCTTCCTGTCACTGTAGAAAAACACAATTCTGTCTCTGACCAGAATACATCTAATTTAGATGACTGATCGTCCCTTGCCTGTGGTTCTCAGTACACTTGACGGCTAGAGTTCCACCCTGGGTCATGAGCATTTCCCAGGGTGTTTACATGTCTCCTCCACTTCATCACTGACTGGTTACCCCATCTCTGAAAACACAAATAAAATCTGTACCAGCCGCTTCCAAGTCTACAATACGTTGTTCTGTGCTATACGATCACCGTTTTACATTAAAGCTCTCTTGAACTTGCAGAGAACTCAGCATCCTCTTCAGGCACTTGAGAGAGACTCTGTTTGTTCTCAAGGCTGGGAGGGAACTTTCTGTGGATGCCAAGCGTGTTCCTTATGGTTGTAAATAGAGGAGTTAGGAGCAGCTGTGGAAGGTTCCTTGGCCCCGACTTACTAGGCAGACAAAGCATCATGGTCTGCAGGAAGAGTCTCTGACTCGTTTTACCCTCTCACACCCGCCCGAGCCAGACAGCCTTTTCATGTGGTGCAGATTTGCATATGTCACACACACACACACACACACACACACACACACACACACACACACACACACCGGATGCTTCCAGAGCCCATAGTGGTTGTGTGCGTCACGAAACACCAACAGTAAGTACATGGGTGGTTCTGGGGGTTACAGGGAGGACAAGGTCTCTATTGTGGAGACCTTACAAAAATAAGCAAAGCCCATAAAATGTAGTATTAAATGGTGCAGTGGTTTGAATAGGTGTGGCCCCATAGACTGATGTGTTTGAATGTTTGGCCATAGGAAATGGCACTATTAGGAGGTAAAGTGTGTCAATGTGGTGATGTATATAGGATGTCCTTCTGTATATGTGTTGCTTTTATTGGTTGATGAATAAAGCTGTTTTGGCCGATGGCTTAGCAGACTAAAGCCAGGCAGGAAATCTGAACAGAGATATAGAGAGTAGGCAGAGTCAGGTAGATACCATGTAGCCACCCAAGAAGCAAGAAATGAGGTAACAAACCATTAATCAGATTGAATACTCTCAATTGATACAGCTAATTGCTTTGCTTATTTTTTCTTTTTACTCATTTCTGTTGAATTATTCTAGGGAATCGTTCGCTTTAGTTAAAATTTTCAGCTCAAGAATTCCCATTAAATTCCTATTAATAATCTCTAGATAAATCATCCTTTAACTGCAACCCACTCACCAGAGTACTGTAATGTGCCTGGAGGGGGTGGGTTAGGGAAGGGAGAAGGAGAGGGAGGGAGGGGAAGAGAGGAGAGGAGGGGAGAGGAGGTGAAAGGAGGGTTGGCTATGTGAGGGTTCCTTTGCTCCACTGTAAGCAGAGTGAAGAAACAGAGGGGACGATGAAAGTCAGGACATTTGGGAGTGGCGGTAGACAGTAGAGTTGATTCTTTCTGTGCCTGTGGCTACTGTTACAAATTACCACAAACCTGGTAGGGAATTATTCTTTCATCATGTAGAGGCCACAGATTTGCTGTCAGGACTGTATTTCCCCTGACAGGCTTGCAGGAGAACCCGCCCTTTGCCATTTCCAACCTCTGTGTGTTCCAGGCATTGCTAGAGTTTTGACTGCAGGACTCCAGTTCCCGTCTCAAGCTCCCCACAGCTTCTTTGTGTCTCTCTTCCGAGTTTTTTTATTTGTTTGCTTTTGGTTTTTGGAAACAGGGTTTCGCTGTAGTTTTGGAACCTGTCCTGGAACTAGCTCTTGTAGACCAGGCTGGCCTTGAACTCATAGAGATCTGCCTTCCCCTGCCTTCCGAGTATTGGTATTAAAGGTGAGAGCCACCACAGTCCAGCCTCATCTGTGCTCCTTAAGAGGACACTTGTAGTGAGATTTTGTGTTCTAACAAATAAAGCTTGCCTGAAGATCACAGAGCAGAACTAGAGGCCAGGGGTGGTGGGTTGCACACGCCAGAGGCAGAGGGATCTTTGATACTTCAAGGCCACCCTGGGCTACACAAGATTGAATCTGTCTCAAAGAGAAACAGAATTTATACAAAGGTGATCCCACAGCACTTGGGATAACATGCCTTTAATCCCAGCATTAGGGAGGTGGAGACAGGAGTGATGTGGCTGGGTAGAGAGAAGAATACAAGGCAGAAGGAGACAGGAGCTCAGAGGCAGTCTGAGGATTGTCCCGGCAGTCAGTCTGAGGACAGGATCGCCCCTTCGCACTGAGCATTGGTAGAGGTAAAAGGTCTCTCTGGTGGCTGGCCGCACTGCTTCTCCAATCCTTTAGCTTTCGCCCCCTAACATTTGACTCAGGGTTTTGTTTATTAAGACCAAATAGAATTCATGCTATAGACGGTTGTCTTGACATGGGGCTCTCCCAACTACCTGCCTCTTGAATTTGTCTGTTCTTGGAGTCATCATTTAGACCAGAGATTCTCAACCTTTCTGATGCTGCAACCCTTTAATACAGTTTTTCATGTTATGGTGACCCCTCAACCATAAAATTATTTTGCTGCTACTTCATAACTGTAATTTTTCTGTTATGAGTGAATTGTGATATAAATATCTGATATGTGACCCCAGTGGGGGACCGAGACCAACAGGTTGGGAAACACGCTTTAGGCAGGTCCCTCCACGGGCCCACGTGGAGCTACCATCATGCAGTACATTTGTACGAGCCCTGCTATGTGATGCTCCCAGAACAGGGGTCTGGGTTGGGAGGTGGGAAGGGCCCAGCTTCCTCAGCAGGCCTGATTTCTTTATAATCAGCTAGCCAGGGCCAGCCGGGGCACTAGGGTAGCTTCAATGTCCACGGTGCAGGAAGAAGAGAGATGGCAGCTTCTCAGTGGAGCTTCAGGTTCTGGCTAACAGGAGGCAAGCTAGGCTGCAGGAGTGTAGTGTGAGTTGGGCAAGACACAGCAAGGTTTCTGCGTGTTCAGTCGTCTGCGCAGGTACACAAAACTGCTCCGAACAGAACAGGATTCAACTGTCTTTCCCAAGGTGCTTCCTTCCCCTCTGTGAACTACTACTGGGAAGCGGTGGGCAGGTGCGTCAGAGACTGAAGAGAGAGAGGCACAGAGAAGTAGAGAAACTGGGCCACATTGATGCTCCAGGAAGGCCAGGGATGACTAAACAAGACTCTAATGCACACCTTGGTTCCTGAGCTGTGCACTCTGGGGAGAAGTTGGTGATGTTCACAGTGATTCCCATTGAAGAAGAGCCCGCATGTGGCCCTCCATGTGCAGGGCCCAGTCTGTCCTGAGATGTGCTTTGCCTCAGATTCCCAGTGGATGGTCAGTGTCAGACTGGGGGATGGGGAGCAACACCCTAACAGCTCAGTCGCCTTCTAGTTCCACTGCTAGCCCCAGAGATTAGACTTTCTTTTCAGATTTTAACGTTTTGTTTCCTCCGTCCCTGCCTTTTAAAAAGAATGTAGGTTCTTTCCCAGAATAGAGCCCATGGCTCTATTACTTACTCAGTACAGGGTACCTGGGTGTGACTTAACAAAACCCTGTGTCCCTAAGGCTCAGGAAACCCATGAGATTCTCTTGGGGACAGTGTCAGGGAGTTATTCTACATTTCCTCCAAAGCTGACTGCAAGATGGGGCCTGAGTGTGGAACCCTAGGAAGCCAAGCGGGAAAGGAAGGGGTGCAACAAATTCTGCCACCCTTCGATCTCCAGGAGGTGAGGCCCTCTGAGGTGTCTGAGGGCCTTAGGACTTCCCTCCAGGGGTTTGGGGAGACTCCAGACTGAGCAGAGAGGAGTCAATGCTGCAGCAGCTGCAGGTAAGCTAAGGGTAGCCAGGCCAGGGTAGAGCATGTGCTGTGAGCAGGGTGGGTGTGTCTAGAGAGTTGAATAAGACTTGTGCTATAGGGGGAGAGAAGAAAGAGTGGGAGATGAGGCAGGGAACCCCACAAAAACCCAGCTCTGACTGGTGAGATACCAACTGTGTCTAATTGCTCCCCAGTGATGGTCACACCACAACCCAGAGCCCTGGAGACAGATTCTCCCTTTCCTGACAAGTAAGACAGAATGGCTGTGTTTCTGCCCTTGGGAACTGTGGTGGTCTGAATAAGAATGAGCCCCATAGGCTCATGTATTTGAAAGCTTGGTCCTCAGTGAAACAGCTAGGTAGGGATTAGGTGTGTGACTTTATTGGAAGAGGTGTGCTACTTGCAGTGGGCTTGAGGGTTTCAAAGGCCCCTGCCAGGCTCAGGCTCTCTCTCTCTCTCTCTCTCTCTCTCTCTCTCTCTCTCTTTCTCTCTCTCTCTCTTCTCTCTGCAACTTGCAGATGAGATGTGAATTCTCAGCTACTTCTTCAGCACAGTGCCTGCTCCCACCACACTCTCTGCCAGGGTGACCATGGGCTCACCCTCTGAAACTGTAAGCAAGCCCCCATTAGATGCTTCCTTTTATAAGTTCCCTTAGTCATGATGTCTCTTCGCAGCAACATAACACCATGACAGGGACTTAGCTATGAAGGATTAAAACAACCTCAGGGGTGGTTTTTTTTTTCTTTGTAATTCTTTACTACCCAGGGGTGGTTTTGATGACACTGCACGGAGGACTTAAAAAAAAAGATGGCTGGGCCAGCTTCCAGCAATATCATATAAAGGTGAAAGACTCCATACTTCCCAGTATACAAACATCTTCTATTTATACGCTGCCATTCAGTAAATATTCAATAGTGAACATCACAGACAGCTGCCAGGCTACAAAACAAGAGAGAAGTGTTGACTTTTCAAGAAATCAGGGCAATGTAAGTGATTGGTAAACAATAGTGAAGCCAGGTTGCACCCCACCCCCTTCCAACACACCCAAATGGAGAAAAGTTAGATTCAGTTAATTCCCTGTTGGTTATTATTTATTTAGGCAGTCGTGGGGCTGTGTCCTGTTGGCCTGTTGGGTGAGGAAACCCAGCCACGCAGGAGCCTTTGGCAAGGGGCTGAGAGACCCTCCCAGGTGATGACGCGACAGGGAGCCCCGCAGATTCTGGGGTTTTCACTTGACCTCATACTTTTTCTTCTCACAAGGTGTGTTCTTAGAAAAATGGCCCCCAAACACAAACGCCCTTCCATGATGAATCCTGCAGACTGGCCCCACTCAGAGGGTCTCCAGGAAGAGCTGGGGGTACATGGAAGTGATCACAGAACCTCCAAACGGGTCCTTTCACAGCCCCCGCTCCAGTACAGCAACTGCTTCTTCCTGCTGTTCCCAGGAGGAGCTGGAAGGTAAATCCATGGTTGCCACGTTCCCATCTCCTTCTCTGAAGTCTTTCCTGAAGGATGAGGAAACTTCTGGTCCTTAGGTTGGTCTTTGAAGCTCCGTGCAGGTACACTGAGCCCAGAAGTTTCTGAAGGACCTGGTTTAGGCATTAACTGGCTATGTCATTCCCATTCTGACTCCCCAAGCCCAACCACTTGTTTCTTCCATAAATACACCCTCTGAGTTGGTTTTATGTACATTTTCTTTGGATCTTTAATGCGGAGGAAGCAGGGGTGGGACGGGAGGAAGAAGGCAGAGGGGGACAGCTGCTCCAGGGTAGCAGCAGTAGCTACAAGGGAGGTCTGCACAAGGGTGGTGCTATGTTAGACCTACAGGCCTTCATGGAGCTTTGCTGATCTTAGGAACTAAGATTGGCTATTCCTAAACCTATCGTGGGGAGCACCATTGCCGAGACAAGAGATCCTAAACAGGAGTGATGGCAGAGCTGGTATTTTGACTGGTGAGGGGTTCAAAGTTGTTTTTCTAGAAGAGCTGAATTCACGGTAAGTAACTTCAAGAGGCAGTCATCTTCAAGGCGAAGGGTGGAGGACGGGGTGGATTTTCAGGGTAGGGGCCAGTCATCATTGGTGGTGGGACAGTTTCCTCATAGTCACCGTGAGGAGTAAAAATGTCCAGAGAGAAAAATGCCGAAGTGGGCCTCCGCACACATTCCAGAAAGACGGTCTGGTGGGTGGTTTGCTGGACTTGTGTTTATCACCCGGATGGCAAATGGCAAGACCTGCTTTGGGGACAGTCACACACGGCCTCCAGAAAGCGAGTCTCACTGGCTTTGGTTCCTTGGCCCTTCAGTGATAATAGATGCTGAAGGCGTGCAGAATATAGAGCAGGGTGGTGAGGAAGGCGAAGAACTGGAGAAACACAGGGAGTGTTAGAGAGGCCAGCGCAGGGCCCACCCCCAACCCAATGCCTCTAGATCCTCCCACCCGGCATTGTGTTCCCTGCACAGCTGAGAGTAGTGAACACTGGGCAGAGAGAGCAAAGGGGATGCTGGGTAGAGCAGGTCCTCTACAATAGTCCAGATGGGGTAAGACAGGGAGAGTATGGGACTTTGAGTTTAATGAAATCCAAGAGCCTGGACAAAGAGGAAAGGGATCAGGGAGGCTGGAAGGCAGCTGGGAAATGCTGTGGCCTTCCCAGAGGCCCACAGCGTTAGTTTGGTACCCTGTTCTTACTCTGGAGACAGTGCCCCCCCCCCCCCCCAGTGCAGCCTTGGCCTCTGGCATGGCGTGGGAGCCTGTGGAAGCCGAAGGGTGACATGGATCATGTCTTCTCACACTCAAAGTGGAGTTGACTTTCTGTCACAAGAGGGTATCATTTCATAGTAGAGAAAGAGACAGGTGGGCTCAGAAGCCCGCCTCTTGGGTGCCACCACCTGGGCATCAGGCTTTTTCCACAATTTACTGTGCCCACCTTGCCTTGTCTTCCATTACTTAGCAATACCATTTCTGTGGACTTCTGTCATTGAAACAAAGGACTAAGAATAGCTGACGGTGTCCAGCAACTCAGACTCAAGCAAGGCCGCTGGACCTCTCAGCAGATGTCAGTAAAAAAGAGAAATGTGGTTCTGTTTGTTTGGGGCGGGGGGAAGAATAAAACTCTGAAGACTGTGGGGAGCAAGGCTGAGTGGGACAAATGCAAGACAAGAGGGGGTCCCTGAAGTTTGGGTGCATGCCCACACATGCATTTTCCCCTCCGCCAGGCTCCTGCAGTTTGACACAGTTGTCCAAAACATGCAGGACAGCGCTGAACTGCACGTAATAAATGCCCTCCGTGTGTGCACGTCTATGCCGCTGCCTAGTAGCTGCGCCGCTACTCACCGAAGCTGCAGTGTTGATGTAGTACTCATTTATGTTATAGTGTTCAGACATGATAGTGACGTGTGCTTGCAGGACGGCGGCACTCATGTACAGGATGCTTGTGGTTCCATGGTATAGACTGTCCTGGAAATGCAGAGCAGAGGCAGGGGTCGATGTTGTTCAAGTGAACACCTTCCCTTTTTCTACACAGCAGGGAAGAAGGGGAGAGAAAAGTAAACCCAATCCCTACTGCCCTTTCTTTGCCAAGTTCCTCCCCTCCCCAGAGTGTGTGTATGTGTGTGTGTTGGGAGGGGACACAGCATGCATGTGGAGGTCAGAGGATAACTTATAGGAGTTGGTGCTCTCCTTCCACCATGTGAGTTCCAGGGGTTGAACACAGGTTGCCAGGCTTGGCAGCAGGCCTTTGGCTGAGCTATCTCCTTAGCCCCTGATTTTAGTTTTGATGCTCTATGTTATGTCAAGACAACAGGAATGTCCTGCAGCAACTAAAATGCTCACTAGCTCTTGAGGGAATGCACCTTGGTTAATCTGCATTTTGCAACCTCTAAGGAAGTGTAGGTCACACACGCCATGTCAGAAATTCTGTCCCCAGTGCACATCTCACCGTGGGAGCATCAGGGCAACAGATGTGCCCCGCTGTACAGGGCTTTGTAGAGATTCAAACGCAGGTCCTCATGCTTACACTTTACCCACCAAGTCATCTCCCAGCCCAGAATTATTTTTAAGAAACAGGACCTTTTTGTGTTGCCCAGACTAGCCTTGAACACCTAGGTTCAATACAGCCTCCTGCCTAGGCTTTCTAAGTTACTGGGAGACTCTAGGTATACGCTGCCTTTTAGTTGAAGTGTATGAGTGTTTTGTCTACATATGTATCTGCCTATACATATTTCTGTGCACCACATGCATACAGTGTCCATGGAGTTCAGAAAAAGGGTGTCAGATCCCCCTAGACCTAGAGTTACAGATGGTTGTGAGCCTCCATGTGGGTGCTGGGAGCTAAACCTGGGTCCTCTGCAAGAGCAACAAGTACTCTTTACTGCTGAGCTCTCTCTCCAGGTACTATTTTTAACTTCGGGAAGGTGTGTACAATCCTAACAAGGAGAGCAGCGGAGGGAAATACAAGGAAATATGTACAAATACGTTTTCACTTTGGATTAGCAATCAACACACCAAAATCAGCAGCCTTGGTTTCCTAGGGATCTCATCCCAGTGGGGTCTTCTCATCTCAGGCCTTTCACTCTGCCTCCCCCACCCGGAGAAGCACATTGTCCTTTAGAACTCAGGACACCAGCCCAAGAGGTGCTGTCCCCTGGTTCTTACCAGGACTCTCCAGGACGCAAATCGCTTGTAAAACCCCAACAGGTAGGACAACAGGAACATCAGGGAGATGAGGAACGAGGTGAGGGACACGTACAGCACCCACCCATGCAGCAAGGGTCTCGAGACATGCGTGGCGGCCACCAGTGTCCAGACCAAGAACCCAAATACCTGTAGGAGAAAAGCACAGACGTGATTTTGCTTGTGCTTTAGTGAAGAAACACCATGGCCGAGGGAACTCCTTGGAAGAAAACGTTTAATTCAGGGGGCTCACTGACAGTTGAAGAGGTTCAACGAGTTATCATCATGGCGGGGAACATGGCGGCATGCAGCAGAGGAGGTGCTGGAGCTGAGACTGCTACATCTTGCCGGCAACAGGGGATCAACTGACTCACTGGGAGTTATCCTGAGTTTATGAAACCTCAAAGCCTGCCACCACAGTGACACACTTCCCACAGAAGGTGTGGCCCAGATGTGCCCTCTAGCTTCAAGGTCTGGATTAAAGGCGTGTGTCACGCCTCCTCCAACAAGGCCACACCTCCTAATAGTGCCACTCCCTGTGAGTTGATAGGGCCCGAATACATTCAAACTACCAGAGTTTGCTTGTGTATGGGTGGGAGGACTCCCTTGGCAGAGCTTCCCTGGCTGAAAGCTCAGCTCAGGGTCAGAAGGTGGGTCAAGGAGCTTGCTGTCCAGCCTGACAACCAGACTTGGATCTCTGGAACCCATTCTTCCAAGTTGTTCCCTGATCTACACATGTGCACGCATGGCATGTGTATTGTATGTGTGCACACAGAGGAAGGCTGGCCTCTCTGAATCATGGTCAAGTCCAATCCTGTAAAATTAAGGGTATTAACCAGCCTTGCAATAGGAGAGACCCCCAGTCAATTTTGGCCACCTCTTTTAGCCTAAGCAGTGTTGATGGGTAATTTTTAAGACCATCTGAACAAGTTGTTAATGCTTAAAATGGACTTTTCACATGAAAAAAATTACATTTTTTTTCTTGAGAAATCCATGGCTCAGTGACTCAGAGCTGACCAGAATAAGTTGTGACTGCATCTTTTAAGGGACCTAGATGGGTAGGAGAGATGGATCAGAGGGTAACAGCCCTGACTGCTCTTCCTTCCATAAGCCCAGATTTGAGTCCTAGCACTCACATGGTGGCTCACTATTTGTAACTCCAGTTGCAGGGGATCTGACACCCTCTTCTGGACTCCTTGGACACCAGAAATGCATGTGACACACAGACACACTGGCAGGCAAAACACCCCCACTTATAAATAAGAGGACCTGGAGAGTCCTTAGCAAGCCTTGTCCTCTTGGCCAACCCCATGCCACCCTGTGACATGTTCTTGTTACTTGCTTCTTCTCCTGCCCCACTGAGGGCTTTCCTGGCTTGTGAGCAGCTGGTTGAGGCTCGTCAGACGATAGTGGCTAATGTTCTGGGATCAGTTGCCAGTGTTCAGTGTAATTCCAGTTTAATAGCCTCTATCTCTGCCCAGGCATTTGCTGTTCCCTTGTCAGTCACACCTCCCTCTTCTTTCTTCAAGGGTCTCCTTTGATCTAAGCTGCACTCAGCTGTGATGGGTGATCCCGGGCTGTGATGGGTGATCCCGGGCTGTGATGAGTGATCCCAGGCTGTGGTGGGTGATCCCGAGCTGTGGTGGGAGAGTCAGGGCTGTGACTGGAGAGCCAGGGCCGTGGTGGGTGATCCCGGGCTGTGGTGGGTGATCCCGGGCTGTGGTGGGTGATCCCGGGCTGTGGTGGGAGAGCCAGGGCTGTGATTGGAGAGCCAGGGCTGTGGTGGAGAGGGGCAGGGTTGGAGATAAATGTTCAACAAATATAAGGTTCACTTGAGAGCCTGGAGGGAGAGAGTCCACAAGGGAATTACATGATTTTGTTGGTTTATCTCATTTTCTGAGCAGGTCTCCCTGCAGGTCGCTCTGTGGCAGGCACTGAAACACCCTTGGCTCTCCAGCTCCTCACTTTCATTAAAATGGCATCATTTTTAAAAAAGAAATACTTGATGATGTTATGTTATATACCTTTTTAAAAAGACTCATTTATTTTTGTTTTACATATATGGGTAGGGTTTTTTATTTGTTTTATTAGACAGGATTTTCCTGTGTAAAGCCCTAGCTGTCCTGGAACTCACTCTGTAGACCAGGCTGGCCTCGAACTCACAGAAATTCACCTGCCTCTGCCTCCGGAGTGCTGGGATTAAAGACATGCGCTACAACCATCCAGCGGGACTCATGCTGTTCTATCCTTGTCTGTGGAGCCACTCACAGATAATGGTTGCTGCAGAGAAGGTGCTGGCATTTTCATCAATGGTGTGGCCCATGTTCTGGTAAATAATCCTCCTGTCCGTGCCTCTGTAAGCCACCCTAATTAAACTCAATTAGTGACCAAAAACTAAAAATAAAGTGTAGAAGTGTTACTGGTTGGGAATGGCCTGTAGGAGTGGAGGGAACAGACCACAGGGCAATGGGGGTGGTTGTGATCAGAACACACTGCATATGAGAATGACATTTTTCTATAATTTTAAATTGAATTGAAGAGGCCCACTAGTTCCGGGGACAACTTTCCCCACCTCAAACAACCAATGTGCAGCGAGGTCTTGGAAGTTCTGCTCTGGATCTGGACATGTCTATGGTGAACAGTACTGACTTGTCCTAGGGAAAGGGGATCTGGGGCCAGAGGTCTGTTCTATGCCCCTACTCCCCCCGACATGCACACACCCATTGATGAAACCAAAGCACTTGCCAAATGTCCTTCCCGACAACCTGAGAAGGTGCACAATGGAGCTGGAATCTGAGCAACACCCAGACCGTACTAGCTGTTAGTGGGATTGCCGTGTGGGGCTGTAAAACCACCCTGTACACCTGGACACACATGAGCCCTTAGGGGGCAGCGAGGGTCTGTGTTACTGACTATAATCCCAGGAAAAGGCCTGGAACAAAGCATCTATAAGGGCGAGGGGTGTTGGGGTACACTGTCTGAATGAATCTATAAGGAAAGCACCCCCATCTCACATCCAGCAGGAACTTCACAATTTGTAAAAATCTATCCACTCAAACGGTCTCATCCATTGTGCCCACCTGTGTCAGGCTCACCGTCAGCCAGGCTGTCTCTGTCCCTTTGCCCCCATTGGAGCTGAAAAGGACTCCCCAACACTGTGGGTCCATTGTTTGTCCTTGTGAAGTTAGTCACCATCACTGTCCCTCATGAGAGGGCTGAGGTCTCACAAGCAGTATGGAGTGTAGCCTGGACATGGAGAGGACATTTGTGTGACTGTCCTCCGAACCAGATGTCACGCTGGGGGCAGGGGAGCTAGATGTTCCTAGAAAGTGCCAGAGGTCGGTTGGCTAGCGTCACAGCCGGAGCCCTGGTACAGTTAACCTCAGTGGACTCTCAAGCCTGCAGAACCAAGGGGCCCATTTGGACCTTCATCCTCTGGTTTCCAGCCAAGGAAATTCTGACACCAGTCAAGGACCTCTGAGCTTGGGGAATCTACCCAGATTACAGGGAATTTTTTTTTTTTTTTTTGAAATAGCCCTGTTGTAAAATTGTTTTGCAGAGGAATGTCATTTGGTTTTTACTTCCACACCCCTCTGCCTTCTAAGCAGCAGATGGGATCAGGCCCAGAGACCAACTCCAGGTGGGTTAAAGCCCAGTGGTGTTTGGTGTCTCAGCTCTACCCCAAGAAGTCTGGCAGGGAAACTTGACCTTTCGACTCCTATTTAAAAGCTCATATTTACCTGGTCGCCTACGCCACTCTCCTGTTTTAGCCCCCATTTTATATTTCCCAAGAGCAGGGAATATTTTTAGCTGGTGTGGTCTGCTCCCCTCTACCCGGAAGGATATTATATTGCAGTTAGACATTTAGAGTAAGTGTGCCTCAAGGAAAATCCTGGCAGGGTCTTTTTGTATTGAAGAAAATGCACACTTCTCATAGATGCCCTTCCCAAAGGACTAAGCTCAAAGGCTCATGCCTTTAATTCCAGTGCTCAGGAGGCAGAGACAAATGGATCTCTTTGAGTATGAGACCAGACTGGTCTACATAGTAAGTTCCAGGAGGGCTAGAGCTGTATACTAAGACTCTATCTCAAAAAAAAAAAAAAAAAAATAGAACAGAGTTGAACCAAAGGCTTGGTCATGAATCTTAGGGGTATAACTCTGTTGCTAGGTGCTGGTGAGATGGTTTGGGGTTAGGAATACACATTGCTCTTGCTGAGGACCTGAGTTCAATTGGACCATGTTGGGTAGCTCATACTTTTGTTACTCTGGTTCTAGGGGCATCCAACACCTCTGGCCTCTGTGGATATTCATGAGCTTGTACCTACCTATCTACATATACACATTGGGGGATGCCGAGGAGTGGGTGAGGTTAAGGTGTTGAGCCTAGGCATCAGGCATCATATCATTAGATAGTGAGAAACCCCTAGAGGCTCATGGGCTCAGACCAAACACGAGACCCTTTAAGCTTCTACTGGATGAAATAACTGCAAGTATTAGCATAAGTTAAGTTGGAATATAAGAATACAAGAGTTCAAAATAATAGGGTTTTTGGTTTGTTTGTTTTGCTTTTTTTGGGGGGGAGGGGGAATAGGGTTTCTCTGTGTAACAACCCTTGCTGTTCTGGAACTCACTGTGTAGACCAGGCTGGCCTCGAACTCAGAGATCCTCCAGCCTCTGCCTCCTGCGTACTGAAATTAAAGGCATGCACCACCATGCCCAGCTTCAAAAGAATACTTAAATAAACAAGCAAACAAACAACTGTGTCACTTTTGAAACATCTTTGCTGTCTTTGAAAACAATGTAATGAATTAAAAGAATCTACAATAAGACACAGTGGTAAAGAACTTCTAATATACGCGCCCGGGTTGGGTGGGGACTGGGGTGTGGGTTTTGCCTGGCATCATCTATGCCCTGGATTCAGTTCCCAATACTGAAAAACAAAACAGAAAACAATAAAATCAAAACAGAAACCCAGAGAAAGTAGGCACAGCCTAGGGCAAGGCTCTGAGTCCTGTGGGTTCCTGGAACTCTCTGTGGACTACGAGACAACTCAGCAATCTGAGCCCTGGGGATGCTGCCCGATGTGGCCGGTGGCCAGGGAAGCTGCACTGTTGGACATTCTCCAGACGATACGACTGAAACTGAAACCCTCTGCCAGTTTTGATTGTTTCCACTTTGCCCCATACAGATCTGCACATCACACATCTGGGTTTGTATCCCAGCTCTACCAGGGGATTCTGTAAGCCACCTGTGCCTCTGCATCCATTAGAGGAGGGGGGTCTCTCTGGTCCCTGCCAGGAGGGCACTTAGATAAAGTTAACCAGTCTCACTTTGGCTCGTGGGGAGTCAGATAACCATTAGCCCAGGCAACTGTAACCACTTGAAAGGGCACAAGAGGACCAGAGGAATGTTGCGTGGAAGAGAACCAGAAGAGCGACACCCTAGCTGGTCTTTTTGAGGGGTGGGAAGTTTGCAACCAAGGATGGGGATTGGGATGGGAAATGGGAGGCTGGAAAGCTGGATGAGGGCAATATTATTTGGGGGGTATAGACCCTTTTCACAGAACAGATAAAAGCCTTTAAAGATGCACTTATATACACATGTGAACACACACACACACACACACAATTTTTTTTTGTCTACAAATTTAAGAGACTCACAGGCCACTCCCCACATGTCCACCTGTAAAAGTCCATGTTAAATACCTGATTTTTTTTATTTGGTTTGTCAACTTTCTGTTTATTTGTTTTGTTTTTGAGACTGGTTCTCACTATGTAGCCCTAGCTATCCTGGAACTTACTATGTAGACCAGGCTGGCCTTGGGTTCCCAGAGCTCCACCTGCCTTTGCCAAGGGCTGGAATTGAAGACCTGTGCCACCACAACTGGCAAATGTCTGTGTTAGTAGCCATGCTGTTATTTTGGAAACACTGATCAACACATTAAATTAAATTGCTCCGCTCGGTAACTTCACTTTTCAAAATTGTTCTACACGTGGCATGCATGAACAAAATGAAGAATAGACACGGTTGCTTCTTGCATCTTGGTTAAACACAGAAAAGACAGGTTTGACCCAAATGCTCATCTAGAGGATGCCAATTAAATCAGCTATGCCTGCCAGGGTGGGGCCCTCTGCGGCCTTCAGACAGAAGTGTTTACTTCCAGAATGGAACAAGACCTAGCAGACAGCAGCATGCCCATCAGGCTCGGACTTATGTGCAACGAGAAGAAAAAGAATGGAGTATTTCTGGACAGAGATTCTGTCTCAGCTTCGGGGAGACCTGGTTGGCTTGAGGAGAGACTTCTCACCCTCTCACCACAACCAGCAGAGGACAGAGTCCTCGCTATGGGAATGTGGCCATGTTTAAAGTGATCCAGAACATTTTAGTATGTGTTATTTAACACATAAAAAATTAAAAGAACAAGAAGAAAGCAAGTAGGTTGCATGAGGGAGGGTCCTAAGGCATCTCGGATGAGACCTGCCTTCCCAGGCAATGTAGCGGGAGTGAGTGGTGTTGACAAGGGCCAGTCTCCTTAGAGGTTCAGAGAAGGACTTTCCCTGAGTGATGAGGGCCCCAGGGGGTGGCAGGGATACGCAGGTATCAGATCTGCACAGGGCGGGGTTCCAAGTCAGGGCGGCTTCAGTGTGGGGCAGAAAAAGAGCTGAGAACGGGAGGCACGCAGAAGGCAGAGACACTGGTAGCAGGTTTCTCTGCATAGCTGGGTGGCATTTCAGCAGGGCAGGTCTCACTCCATGCCAGTACCACATTCCTCTCTTTCCTACCTGTCTTAGCTTTCATGACAGATCCCTCCCTTACTTGGTTCTTAGGTGACAACAGGGGACCATGAATTCCTATGAACTGAGAGGAAAAAGCCAAATCAAATGTTGGACGAGGCTCCCATAACTACTGACAGCACAGGAGGAGTGGCTCCCACAAAGGACTCAGGCAGGTGTCGTCCACAGTGGGAACCCCAATGGCCTGAAGGCTCCCTGTGGCACTGTGATGCCTCAGGATGAAGACAACTCTTGTCCCTTGTGTGAGACTTTGCACCACGTGTACACTTTATGCAACCATTGCCGCAGTCCGGCTCCTGATCACAAAGCTCTAACCTCCTGCTTCCTCCTTGGCCAGCTCCAGCAGCCTCCACTCTGCTCCACGCACCTGACGACTCCAGGTACCTTAGACAGAAGAAGTCTTGCAGAATTTCTCTTCTGTGACTGGCTGATTTCACTTAGCATATTTCTTTCGGACTTCGTGTTTAGCATGCACCAGCATTTCCCTGTGCTTTAAGGTAGAGTAATGCTCCATTGAATAAAATAGTTCTTGCCTATAGTTCGAAGTTTACTATTTCTCGACTTTACTCCATGCAAACGTGACAGGCATCTGGTAGAACCTTTCAGTTTTGCAGTGACAGAACTCCCCAGCCTAGCGCTCTCTGATAAGGCAGCTCCTCTGTCTTCTTCTCAGGCAGCAAGTGAGCCAAGGCTTCCGGACGGCCAGGAGTTCACGGATGGAAACCAGGGACACTCAACAGTGGACCTGTGCTGTTAAGTTAGAAAGTGCTGAAGGTGGCGTATACTTCGTGCATTTTCAGTCTAGGTCAGTGCTCATCAATGTAAAACTCCCTCGTGAGCCAAGAGGCATCGGATTGCTCTTTGCTTATCCTCTCATCCATGCGGGTTGCTTTCTACCTCTTGGCTGTTGGGAGTAAGACTGCTACACACAAGGGTGTGCCAATATTCCTTCAGGGGAAGAATGAGATGCCATTGGCCCTGGGCTGTGTCAAGCTCTCATCAGTTGGTGCCCTTGCAAAAGACCTGGAGAGCGGCGATCCATCAAACAGGCATTCTTGTCGCTATGGACATGGCTTGAGGGTTTGTGACATCCAAGCAAAATGCCTCAACTCTAGGGAGATTTTAATGAAAGCAAACAGCAAGAATTGCTGTGGAATGATGAGATTTTAAGCTGTCTGTAAAATCGGTGAGCAGTAAAGGAATTTTTCATCATATCTTCTTCCTTCCCTGGCACAGTTTTCATGAACACAGCTTTTCCAGTGCTGGAGCAGGAGCCCAGGACTTTGCGCATGCCAGGCTGCACTCTATCACCAAGCTATGTACCCAGCCCAGCCCACCCCCAATGAAAAAGATTTACTTTATTTTTAATTGAGTGCATGCGAGGGGCATAATGTACACATGTGAGTTCAGTACCTGATAAATCCAAAAGACGACAACTGCCCTGGGGCTGGAGTTACAGCAGTTGTGAGCTGTGTGTGTCCTGGGGGGGAGAATGCCAGTCCTCTGCAAGAGCAACCCGGGTTCTTACGCGCTGAGCCATCCCTTCAGACCGCTGATCGCAGCGACTGCCAAGCCTGGCACCTAGTCAGGGAGCAGCATCACAAGCAATGCCAGGCCCCCAACTTTCAGCAGTACCCTCTCCACTGGAGTTTTCCTGCCTTCCTGCCTTCCTTCCTTCCTTCCTTCCTTCCTTCCTTCCTTCCCTCCCTCCCTCCCTGCCTTCCTTCCTTCCTTCCTTCCTTCCCTCCCTCCCTCCCTCCCTCCCTCCCTCCCCTCCCTCCCTCCCTCCCTCCCTTCCCTCCCTCCCTCCCTTCCTTCCTTCCTTCCTTCCTTCCTGCCTTCCATCTTTCCTTCCTTCCTTCCTGCCTTCCTGCCTTCCCTCCCTCCCTCCCTCCCTCCCTTCCTTCTTCCTGCCTTCCTTTTTTTTTTTTTTAATTTTGGGTTTTTTGAGACAGGAGTTCTCTTTGTAGCCCTGGCTATCCTGGGACTTGCTCTGTAGAACAAGCTCACCTCAGACTCAGAGATCTGAATGCCTCTGCCTCCAGAGTCCTGGGATTAAAGCGTGCGCCACCACATCCAGCTTCACTGGAGTTTTCAAATGTGGACCCTTTGAAGGTTACGACTTCATGTTAGTGGTTCGTTTTCCAGCATGGAGAAATCAAAGAGACCAGACTGGAAAGTATGGGAGCGCAATGTCCAAGGAAAGGGAAATACTGTTTCCTTACTGTTTCCCGAGTCTTTTGTTTCAACACACACACACACACACACACACACACACACACACTCCAGGTGCCATGGAGTCTCTTTCTGTGAAGCGCAGTCAGTTGTGGAAGACCATCTTCTGGAGAGTCTCCCTGACTCTCAGCCAAGGGCTTTTGCAGTAGCCTGCCCTAGCAGGCCTACCCTGGATGGCTCAGCCACACAGCAGGAAGCCTTGGGTAAGGACTTCGAGGTCAGGGGTGTGAGAGTGGAGGGGTTCATGGGAGGAAATATTGGGACCTGGGTGACAAAAGTAAGCCACCCACAGGGTGGTAAGGAGAACCCCAGCTGAAGGAAAGCCAGAGCCACGGGAGGAGCCCTGGAGGGTGTCCTTTCTACAGGTGTCACAGAATGTGATGGGAAGCAAAGACAAAGGAATCACAGCCAAGATATAAGAGCGACAACCTGCAGCAGGGAAGAGACTTCTACGGGCATGTCTGAAGCCCCATCAGTGCATAGGAAGCTGGGATTTTATTCAGAGGACTCACATGTCTTCATGGGAAGTGGGTCCATTTCCGAGCATGCTCAATTTAAGGTCATAAACGAAAAAGCAAAGAGTAGACACATTCGGGGGTGGTGTTTAACTCCAAATCTCAGAGAGCATAGCAAAGATTAAAGTGATGGAAAGGAATGTCTCTGAGCATGCTCAGTTAACACCAGAAAGTTTTAGCTGAAAAATAAACAATACTTTGAAGGTGTTTTAACAGAGGCGCCTGACTTGCTTAGTCACTAACACAAGGACTGCACGCAAAGCAGACTCCCAGGGATCGGCCCTGGTGGAGGGAGAGGCCCACAGGCAGCACTAGCTTTATTACCAGAGGAGCTGGGTGTTTCTGGGCAGGCCTTGCTCACCGCAGGCCTCTGTGGATAGCTCTAAGACATTTGTTCCCACAAGGTACTGTGTATATAGCCTAACGCCCCGGCTAGGCTTTCTGAAGCCTGTGGTCAGACAGCCATATTTCCTTTATCTTAGGAGGAAAACAGTTCTAAGAGGCCAAGGAACTTCCCCAATGACCTCCGTCAGGACCCCAAAACAACAATCATTGTACGGCACTTCCAGGCTCAATAAAAACACACAAGACTCTTGCAAATTCTGAGTCATTCTGCCTTGACTCATAACAAGAGTATTTTTCTCTTTGTGGCTTTAAGGTTAGCAGGAAATTGCTTGCCCAACCTGCCCAGTCCTTCAGTGAGGCCATTTCTTCTTCTGGCCTCTCCAGATAGTGTGGACGGGAGCCCCATGGGCCTCTGCTCCTGACAGAATAGTCACATAGGGCACGGTAAGGGCTCTCCAGACCTGGCTGCCAGCCCAGGAAACCTGGAGCAAACTGGCCCACACTTCCTCCCTGCTCTGGGAGCTTCCTGCTCCAGGGCCACACCCTCTCATTCAGACCCAGACTGACACGAGTTTTATTGATCAAATTGCACAGATTTACAATGTAACATAAAATAGAATGATAAAAACATTCTTATCTACCCAAAGGCTAAAGGCACTTTCTTTCATAATTATTCAAAATAAATTAAAAATAAGATACTGGATGTTAAAGAGGGCTTTTTTTTTTTCTTTTCTTCTCTATGTGTGGATTTTAAGAAGTTAAACTTGTCCCTCCTTTAGGGTTTTGTCACCCCCAGGCTCCACACTTACGCTGGTTCCTTCTCGCTCTTTGGTCCAGGCTCTAAGACTAATTTCACATCTCTTTATAAGTTCTTAGGAAACCCTGGGCTGTGCTGTTGGCACCCACCATCTCTGGGAACCCCGACATCCTTTGTGACAGTTACTCCTTTCTTTCACTCCATCAGGTACTGGGTCCCCAAGCGCTCCCACGATGCACCCCCCAAGACCGTCTCAGCTCGGCTGTGACCAGACCTTAGAAGGCAGGGACCAGACTGATGTCACCTCTCCAGAAAGCCAGCCTATCAGGCCCCAGCAAACCTCTTTTACTGCTACCCCTACTTGGTCTCTCTCCTCTGCTTGCTATCACGACCCTGAGTTTCTGAGGCAGGACTGGGCCCTGAGGCCTTCATGTCCCCAGCATCAGGCTCAAAGTCCAGAGTGAAGCAGTCCCAAGCAGAGATGGCCACCTTGAGCAAGACAGGTCTCCAGGCACGCTAGCTAGACAATGCTGCCTGATACCCTCTGGGCCTGCCACTGTGGCCCAGCTGTGACCTGGCACTTCTTCCAGGAGCCTTGGTCAACTGATGGCACTAGACACTTATTTATTTCATTGTTGCCCACTTTCTGCTCTGCTCCTTCCCAGATCACTTATATTCTTTAGGGAATGGTTTGGGATTCCGTTTGGCTTTTCATTACCCACCTGCTTCTTCCTTGGCCCCACATCCTTCCCCATCCTAGGTGACCCAAAGCCCTGGCATCAAATTGTGCTATTAAAGATGATGGTATTTAAATAATTCGCTTGGGCAGAGAGGGCATCTAGACAGGCAGGGCTTGAGGGCTATAAACGCTGCAGAGGCAGAATCAAAAGGGAAAGCATAGAAAACCCACCCATGGCAGGAGTTTAGACGGGCTTGTCTAAAATAGATCAGAGCACTCTAGGCCAGTGGTTCTCAACCTTCTTAATGCTGTGGCCCTTTAGTACAGTTCTTCGTGCTGTGGTGACCCCCAACCATAAATTATTTTCATTGTTACTTCATAACTGCAGTTTTGCTATTGTCATGAATCGCAGTATAAATGTCTGTGGTTTTTGATGGTCTTAGACGATCCCTACGTTTCTCCCACGGGTTGAGAACCTGGACTGTAGAGTTTAGAGCCTAAGACCTCAGGATGGAAAGACCTTGAGGCTCCACTCTGGGGGTCTATCTGGTATTTTGTAGGTGTGGCTGTGGCCAGGCAGTGGGAAATAGGACTCCCGATGGAGAAGGCCCAAGGGGATGCAGTTGCAAGGGTGGCTGGCAGGGATGGAGGATAAAAAGGAAGACTAGCAGAGACCAGAGTGTATCTGGGGGCAAAGGCCAAAGATCTCGGGCTCCTCCTTAATCTAGCCTGTTTCCTCCTTTCACAAATCTGGACAACTCTCTAGAAACTCTCCTGACTCTCCCAGCTCTAGCGTAACTGGGAAAAAGTCATGTAAGTGAACTGAGTGCCCAGGCTACCTCTTTTTAGTTTCTTTGTGTAGCTTTGCCTGTCCTGGAACTCACTCTGTAGAGCACAGGCTGGCTGCAAACTCTTGGAGATCTGCCTGCCTCTAATCTAGAGGGGGCAGTGGCTTACTCCTGGATTGCTTTCTTAACCGTGGGGTGCTCTTGGTGAGTGTGTGTGTGTGAGGTATGCATGCATGTTTGTATTGTGGTGTGTGTGTGTGTGTGTGTGTGCGCGCGCGCGCGCGCACATGCTCTCGTATGTGCCCATTTGGAAGCCAGATGTTTCTCACTGGGACATCTTCCTCAATGGTTTCTTTACTTTTTTCAGATAGTCTCTCCCTGGTCCTCAGGTTATACTAGCTGGCCAGTGAGTCCCCAGATCTGCCCCTACGGGCGCCGCTCAACTTTTGCCTGAGTGCTGAGGATCTGATGGATCTGAACTTGGATCTTCATGCTTTCCCCAATGAACACTTTGCCTCAGGTTCCCTTTTTGTTTCTAGCCACTGTAGAATAGAACCTGGACCTCAAGCTTAGGTCACAGGAGAAGTGACAAAGTCAGGCCGTGAGGAACAGGCTTCATTTTCACTATTTGCATGAACCAGGGCCACTGGAAGGGGAGCAGGGGACAGCCAGGGACAAAACAAACAAACGAACAAAAACCCCAACTTCTAAGGAAAGCCTCGAATTCCTTCTTGCAGATCCTTTGGTCACTTTCAGTCCTGGCAGGGTTGGCTCTAGCTGAGCTCTTTACAATTTCAAACAATCTCTTAAATGTTGCAAAATGGAGGTGGCGGGGTAGGGGAGCAGATTAAAGTCAAGGTGAAACCAGGAATTTGGGGTGACACATAACGATGGGGTGGGGTAGGATAGAATGAACTTCTTGAGGCATCTCAGTGTTTCCTCCCCACCAACAAGGAGCTGAGATACACACAGGAAGGAGAAAATCCGGCATCAAACAGCGGGCTCAGGCCTCCTCCCCTTTTAACTAGCTGGATTTCTAAGAATTTTCTCACCCACTGCTTTTTAATTAGGCAAAAATCTAATTAAAGAGTCAACTAATGAGAAGGGTAA